CGGCAAGTCACATAACAACCGTAAATCATAAAATGAGCAGTAAATGGGGGAACAGGGCTACAACTCTCGAAACGACCGGCCGGATCGTTACATCCTCCCGCTCTTAAACAAATATTCATCCTCAAACGGGTCTAGAAACATACCTAGAGTCTCAAATAGGCGTGGTTATCTGCTCCGCATCTCCCGCTCGGTCTCCCAAGTTAGACAACTTCTAGTATTTGGCTATATGACCTGGTTTGTTGCACTTGAAACATTTGTCGGAATTGGGAGTTTGGAAGTTTGTTTAGATATAGAAGGAAACAATTTGGTTTTCCTAAACTTAGGTTCAAAAGACCTATATTTTCTAATCTCCATATCCTTGGTTGTTCGTCTCTTATGAGGCTTTTTACTACAAAGTGGTAAGCCAAATTGTTCACAAAAACTACCTAGATCTCGGCGAGTCTGTGTTCTATCTTTGGCTAATTGTCTCAATATCTTATCATGTCGACAAATTTTGAGAGCGACATGTTGAATGAGACTGGTAAGTTGCCCATAGGTGATTTGTTCATAAGGAATAACATCGCCAGAATGCTGATTTTCGAGTTCTTCTTTAACTAAATCTCTAAGAGACTTAGGTAGGCCATCTAGGAATTTTTCTTTCCAATATGGGAGATTTCCATCAGGTTTTTCGTAGATTCGGGTAAGAAAGGGATCTTTATACCACCTGAAATCAGAAAGGGTTTTACACTTAAGGTTGTTAAGTATCTCAGAAGATCTTTCCCTAAAGACACCTGGACTACCTATGAATGTTTTGATAATGGTATAAATCAAGGTGTTGGTTGAATCAGGAATGGTAAGGCCATCTTTAAGAATTGCTTCTCCCGTTGAATCAACTCGGACACTTAAGAAAATTTGGTTCTTATCTTCTTCGCTAAGATGGGTATCCCACCATCCTTTAAGTTGACCTGTGAAACCTACTACTAAGACATGGGTAGTAAGCTGGTCAAAATAGTTATAAGAAGTTCGATATGCAGCGGCTACCAAAGTCATTTGCTGTAATTTGGCCAAAATATTATATTCAGAACAACCATCTATGATCCATTCATAGATATTATTGGCATTATAGTTGCTTTGCATAACATTGGGTCTCTTTTCTAAGGCTACATCAGGATGGGTAGCTCTAGAATAGTAAAGTCTTTGGGGTTGACGCCAGTTGAAGGATCCTGTTCTGACAGGGTTAATTTCTAGGGGAGGATTTTCATGAAATTGTTCTGACTGCGAATTGGCTTCTTGGTCAGAATCGGCTTCTTGGAGAATATGTACAGAAGAATCCTTAGATGGAGTATCCTGAGCTATCAGGGGTTTTTCAATTTCTAGGATCCTATGCTGAAGGTCAGAGAACTGAGGATAGTCTTTAGCTTGGGGGATCCAAAGTTCCGTAGCGAAAGTTCTAGGGATCTCATAAGGTTTAAACAAAGGGACTGAAGAAGTGGAGGTATCTGCTGGCTTAGAACTAGTAAATGTTGAAGTTGGTTTTGTAACTAAATATTCACCAAGAGATTGTAAATATTTGTTCGAATAATTATTTTGTTCAAAAATATTTTTAATATCTTTGCCTGTAATAGCTTCATTTTTGTTTTTTAATATGAAAGGATTAGCTACTACTGAAGTATTTGCATAACTTGTTGAAAATCCTTGTGCCGGAGGAAGTTCTGAGATGACTTCTTCTTCAGAGGAGGTTTTCCAAAATTTTGAAACGTTAACTGATTTAGAAAAAGGAAAATCTAATTGGTGATATTCAGCATATATAGGCTTCAAACTATAATTAATTTGTTCTTTTATGAAGTTTAAAGACTCATAGTAAATACTTTGGAGATTTTTTCTATCGTCTCCTTGAAAATTCTGGAAAAACCAAGTTCTTTTGAAAATATTTTCTTGTGAATAAAAATTTGCTCGAAGTTTTTCTTTATCAATTTGGAATTTTTTTTTCCAAAAGACCTAATTCAGAACCTAAAGCTGAGTAAGTGGGAGATTGAGGTTGTTCTAATTAACTTCTGTTGGAGGGGCTGTTTCTACAGAATATTTGGCTTGTGGGATCCTAAAGTCAAAATTAACAGTTTCAATCCTAGAAGAAAAAGAAGATATTGAATGTTTTCCAGACTGAATCTCAGACTGTGCCGAAGAGGACGAGACAGAGACTCTTTGGCTAAGGGACCTTTGGAAGGAAATAGCTACAGATCCGCTAGAATATTGTTGGATTTGAGAGACCGTAGTATTTTCCGGTTTCTCATCCTAAGTAGAATCTTGTAGTAACCAGTTTTGTGGTAGAAAAATTTGGCTCCGAGAAATGGGTTTTGGTATTGACAGGTGAGATCTTTTTAGATCTGTTTTGAAAAGAACAATTTCTCCTTTATGGAGGGTTTTCATGGCTCCAGTATTAAAAATAGGACTCATGGCTTTATACTGCATTCTATAAATAATTGCTAGTGGTAAGGATTCAGTTTTGGTTTTATAATTGGCTGTTTTAATATTAAGAGTTAAAGAATCTAAGATATTTCTATCTCTAAGAGACACCGTAAAATTAGGAAAACAATCAAAGTAAATTGGACCGCTACAAAGGCTGGTTTCAACCATTCCTATGGGGGGCTATATATATATATATATATATATATATATATATAAACTGTGCAGGCTGACGAGACCGCCATGAACATCTACTGATAAAACTATACAAGACTTGTCTTTTCTTTCAAATTGAGTAACACAACCAACAATACATAATTAAGCCTCTTATCCTATAAGCCAACCATGAATTCAACTTGAAAATAAGTTTACAACCAGCCAACAGTGACGCAACAACAAACAACATACCACTCTTTCGAAACTCGCTAGGTCTAGTCTTTACGATCGAGTTACAACTCGTACAAGCCTAGATAATGGAAGGAGAAACATAAATTTACCTTGGACTGAGTAGAACCCATGAAACCTAACCCTTCTTCATCCAAAATCAGTCCCCCAACGCAGCTACAAGAAGGAGAAAGAGAAACTAGGGGTTTTTCGGCACTAAAATCACATCGTAACACCCGAAATAACCAAGGGTTTGTGTGGGATTTTTGAAGAGGAGTTGCAGGGGTTCAATTTAGTTTTCTTGGTATGAAATGTTGGTGAAGGAAATGAGTTGATAATCCCTTAAAAGTCCCCTCTTGGAAGACTTTGGAGCTTTAATTGAGGCCTCTCCTTTTGGCAAGTAGGTGATGCACCTACTTGTCACCTATCAATCTGTGCAGTCTCCCGAAAATGCAAATATCTATCTAATCCAATGTTGTATCAATGAACGGTTTAATCCATTGGAAACTAGACTCGTAGATATTCAATTTGGTAGGTAGATCATCTCGTAATTCCAAGTACATTAGGAGAAATGATCAGCTACCTTTGACCTAATTTTCAGCATATTTGTGAATGTAACTTGTGACGATCTTTGCCAACTTTTGTTCCACAACTCGCTTGACTTCAAAACATAACACACGACTATCATAAGACTAAAATAAATCATAACATAACCTCCTTATCATTTTGAGAACCTTAGTCTCACCCCAAAATTATATATTATAACATTCCCAACTTGTCGACTTTCGACCAAACCTATTTTCTTCAATTCGTTCAGCTTCTAAGCCTTCCAACCCTCTTGGTACTTGCAGTTCATGATCTTAAATATTTGCAACCACCAAGTTAACATGATTAACTTTCTTTATGAACTTTCAAAGATGATCTCGTTTCTGAGCTTACATCAATTAACTTACGTCGTACTCTCACATACGAAAATATGGGGTGTAACACAACTCTCGGTCAAACTTCCAAATTTTCAACTTTCGCCATTTCAAGCCTAATTCAACTACGGACCTCCAAATAATAATCCGGACTCACTCCTAAGTCCAAAATTACCCAATGAAGCTAACGGAACCATCAGAACTCCAATCCTGAGCCGTTTACACACAAGTTAACATCCGATCAATATTTTCAACTTAAGCTTTTAACCTTGAGACTAAGTGTCTCAACTCATTCTAAAACCTCTCCGGACCCGAACCAACTATCCTGGAAAGTCACATAACAACCGTAAAGCATAAAATCAGTAGTAAATGGGGTACCGAGGCTACAACTCTCGAAACGACCAGACGGGTCGTGACAAAGCCTAAAGGTAAATTCTATAGAGTGGTGGTTAGACCGATTATGTTGTATGGGGTGGAGTGTTGGCCTGTCAAAAACTCTCACATCCAGTAAATGAGAGTAGAGGAGATGAGGATGTTGAGATGGATGTGTGGCATACTAGGAGAGATATAGTCAGGAATGACGATATTCAAGACAAGTTAGGAGTAGCCTCTATGATGGACAAGATGCGAGAAGCGAGGCTGAGATGGTTCGGGCATTTGAAGAGGAGATGCCCACATGTTCTACTGAGGAGGTGTGAGAAATTGACTATGGTGGATATGAGAAGAGGTAGAGGTAGGCCGAAAATGTATTGGGGAAAGGTGATTAGGTATGACATAGTACATCTTCAGCTTACCAAGGACATGGCTCTTGATAGGAGGTATGGAGGTCGATGATTAGGGTAGAAGATTCGGGGGCAGTCGAACGTCTTTCCCCTCAATACCAGTTTTGATTGTATTATTATTGTATTTCCATATTCTTAGATTTTTATCACAACCTGATGTTGTTTATGATTCGGTTTCACTATTTATCTTGGTATTGCTACTGCTTCTCTCATATGACTTCTATATTACTGCATGTCTTCCTCTATACTGTTGTATTTATGCATGCTAGCTTTGAGCCGAGGGTTTATCGAAAATAGCGTCTATACTTGCATAAAGATAGGGATAAGGTTGTGTATTCACTATTCTCCCCAGACATCACTCGTGGGATTATACTACGTATCTTCTTGTTGTTGTTGTTGATATGTCAAGTGAATGAATGAACAAGAGGAACTGAAGCATATGACAGAGTTACAAAGTTGGAAACCAATGATCTGACCACAGTAGTAATATGCTCAAAATTCTATTTAGAAGGCCATAAAATTCCACACTTCACTTATCTTGCTCATATACTACATTGTTTTTCACTTGGACAAAGCTAGCAGCCACTTATTAGTAAAATGCTCATAACTATGTTGCTCATATACTACACATAAACTAGCAGCTGCTGTGTTGAAGCTTGAAGTGCAAGGATCAAATGCTATTACACAAGAATATACAGGATAATCGCAAAATACAAGGCGTAGAAGAAGAAAGGGCAGCCCGGTGCACTAAGCTTCCGCTATATACGGGGTCCGAGGAAGGGCCGGACCACAAGGGTCTATTATATGCAGCCTTACCTTGCATTTCTGCAAGAGGTTGTTTCCACAGCTCGAACCCATCACCTCCTGATCACATAACAGCAATTTTACCGGTTACACCAAGGCTCCCCTTCTAGGTATGGAAGAACTAAATAGCATATAGTTTCTTATACTCATCATCCGGGATCTCTGATTCTGACATGATCGATATGGATCTTGACAAGGACTTGCTACTCCGAGCTGACTTGCGCAAACTTTTCAAATTTGAAGACTCAATCCGGTGCATAACTACCCAATAACACAGTGTCCCTAGTGTTGTAACCATGATAAAAGTTCCCATAAAAGTTACTGCAGTTGCCATCCATCTCTCTTCTTTACCTACAACAATATAAGACAGTGCAAGAAAGGCTACAGACACAAATGCACACGCCAACCACATTAGCTTGTTGATAATCGACATCATTTGCTTCTTCGCTCTTCTTTCAACGACCACGATTGATGTTTGAACCACCACAACAGCTAATGATATGAAGAGTGCAAGAGAGTCAAATATGAAGAAAATTGCAAAAGGGAGTTGAGGAGCAATATTTCCTTCTCCTAATGAGTATCCAGGAGGAATATGCTTACGGTTATCAACATATTGGCCTGGTAGATTAAATATGGCAGCAAAAGCAACAGTGGCAATAAGAACTGCGACGACTGTGGTGGAATTTATTGCGTTGTTGAGCCCTTCCGAGTGCATTTTGTTCAGACGTTTTGCTATGTTTTTCACTCTCTTTTGTGTTTGAAAAGTGTGCTCAAGCTGATTATGAACATCATGTTTTATGTCACTAACGGTTTGTTTCAGTTCTTTGGCTGAACGCGTTGGTAATACTAGCTTCATGTTCTTTGCACTTAGAATACCATGTTCCTTTAGAATTGTTGCTATCTCTGATTGCCTTCCTTTCTCAGCAATGTCAAGAGCAGTCTCATCAGATTTATTGATGGCGTCCCACTTCATCCGCTTGTCCTTTACCAATGCTTGAACAATCTGCATGAGATATGATAGTTAGTCGAAGATTTGAAATACTTTTTCTTACCAATATATGGTAAAAGTATAACCTGCCGAGTCCAAATATTATAAGAGAGACTAAGGCGGCCGTGAAGCTTATATAACATCTTTGTTGAGCTTTTGAACAGAAGAGTGTTCTGTGTTTTCATTTCAACACAAAAAATCATGTAAAATATTTGGCTCTGTGGCAAATGTATAACATATGGAACTACATAACATACATGTGGTCAATAATCTTTCAACTATAATCTGCAGTCGGATGGAATTGTCACACTTTCAGGAACAGAACAAAGTGTTCAGATTTTGTGTCAAGAACTCTTTTTTCTTTGTTAAATCCGTGTTCAGTCCGAAGAAGAGCCTTGGCGTAGCTGGTAAAGTTGTTGTCATGTGACCAGAAGGTCATGAGTTCGAACCGTGAAAACAGTCCCTTGTAGAAAAGCAGGGTAAGGTTGTGTACAGTAGACCCTTGTGGTCCGACCCTTCCCTGGACCCCGCGCATAGCGGGAGCTTAGTTCACCAAGCTGCCTTTTGTTTTAAAATCCGTGTTCAGTCCAAGTCCAACACTGCCAAATAAAATGAAACGCAGGTATAATATACATAAGAAAACTTACCTCTACGCGGCCTTTTCGTGTTGCAATATGCAAAGCAGTATTACCCTTTCCATCAATAATTGTAGCCAAAGAAGGATCTGATTGAATAAGCTCATTAACAACATCAACACTTTGTCCTTTAACTGCCATATGAAGAGCAGTTTGGCCCTTTTTATCTCTCCAATTTAAGATCCCTTCTTCTCTGCTTAAAAGTGCTTTCACAACTACAACATGTCCATTTCTTGCTGAAGAATGAAGTGCTGTTTTCCCATTGTTCTTTGGTATTGTGGCTAAACTGCTATTAGTTTCCAAGAGGAAATTGACTACATTAATATGACCTTGTGCTGCTGCAGTGTGCAGTGCAGTGGAATTTGACTGATCAAATGTAACTGATAGCTGTGGAAAAACATCAAATAGTACCTTCACCATTTCTGCAACAAAATCCAATCTTTTAGTATCTATGATCATAACTTCATTATTAGTTGTAATTACTACCAAGGATAAAGGGAACATCAAATTCATAAAACTTAACATTGAAGAAACTTCCATCATTTGTTTTTCATTCGTTAAGAGATTTTTTTTTTTTAAAATTAATGATGTTGTCGGCTAACTTGCACGCACCTCGACTATTCCACTGTTACTTGCTAGCTCCACCAATATAGGTATCGGCAGTGGCGAAGATAGAAATTTCCTCAAGGATGTTCAAACTTGAAAAAAAAAGGGCAGCCCAGTGCACTAAGCTTCCGCTATGCGCGGGGTCGGGGGAAGGGCCGGACCACAAGGGTCTATCGTAGGCAGTCTTGCCCTGCATTTCTGCAAGAGGTTGTTTCCATGGCTTGAACCCGTGACCTCCTGGTCATATGACAGCAATTTTACCAGCTATGACGAGGCTCAAACTTGAAAAAAGTTTTAAAAAATTCCCGACAAAGGTGTTCGATATATGTTATGTACCTCTAAAACCTAATATTTTACCTATATACACAGTGTAATTTTTCGATAAAATGGTAGTCAATTGACCACCCCTGTAGGTTCGCCCCTGGGTATCGATTAACTCTAACCACCAAAGTTTAGGCAAATTGAAGGAAATCACCTAGTTTTTTTTATCTCTATTGGATTTGAACCTAATTTCTCACAGTTTTCACCTACTTTATTGGCCGTTAGGCCACACGATTTGTGCTTATTATGTGAAATTCTATAAGTTCATAGAAAGACAAGATAATGAAAAACCACTTAAAATAAAAACTTACCAAAATCACCCTGTTTAGCAGCAACATGAAATGCATCATATCCATTTCTTGCCTTGATACTAGCTAATCCAATATCATAATACTTAATCATCTCTTTCACTACAATCAAATGACCATATTCAGCAGCAACATAAAGAGCAGTTTCACCAGATTGATTCTGTTTTGACAATAATTCTACCAATTCTCCTTCTACACAGCCATTGATCATCTCCAAAGCCAATTCAAGATAACCACCTCTTACCACTGAATGAAATTCAGTGTCTCCTCTTTTTCCTGTTAACTGTTTTGTCATCTTTTTCCCAGAAAAATTTTGCTGCCCAACAGAAGATGCCATAACTCTCAGACTCTCAGCTGAAAATTTCAACAGTTCCTTAAAGTTTTCCCTTTTATGGTATCAAAGTCTTTTAAGTCAAAATGTAACATGGGGTGCTCTAATATTTAACTTATCTATGATATGGACAAACTACATCTTTTTCAGGCTAACACAATAAAAAGGCAAGCCGGTGAATTAAGTTCTGTAGCGTGGGGTCCGGGGAAGTGCCGGACCATAAGGGTATATTGTACGTCGTCATATCCAATATTTTTACAAGAGGTTGTTTACACTGCTCGAACCCATGATCTCTTGGTTATATGGAAGCAACTTTACCAGTTACAACAACACCCTCTTCAAACACAATGGATTTTAGATAATAGCATTAGTTATTATTAGGCTAAGAGCCCGTTTGGATTAGCTGACTGTAAATAGCTGATAAGCTTGAAGTGTTGAAAAGCATTTTTAAGTGATAAAGCTGATTTTTCAAATAAGCATTTACGTGTTTGGATAGACGTGTTGAAACGGATGATAAGGAGTTGATGTGTTTAATAGAAAAGTGCTCACAAGTTGTTCTTTTATTAAAATGACTAAAATATCCTTAAAAACTTTACAAAAGATTATAAATTAAAAAGTTTCTTTGAAAAGAAAAAGATGAACAATGAATATGGAATGCAAAGAAAGTTAGATAATTTATTTTGGGAAAAATATTTTGTAAATTAGAAAATATTATTAAGGATAAACTAGTAAAAGTCTTGATCAAACTAGAAGTGTTTATAAGCTAAAAAGTCATAAGTTGGGGGTGGCCAACTTATTACTTATGACTGATTTTAGCCACACCTTTATCAATTCCTTTGCTCAAATTACCACTTACGTTCTTTTCCCTTAGCTATAATAAATCACCAATATGCCGATAACCCGAAACCTCACAAGTAGATAACCATGCAACCCAATCGTAGGCGGTGGGACTCTCCCACTTAGCTTGAAGCTACTATTACACAACTCTGGAACCCACCAAGATTTTTTCTTCATTGTTGGCATGATCTTGCACAACCAACCCGCCAAATTCCTTGAAATCCTTCTATTAGCATCTCATGAACACTCTGAATCTCTAGTAACATTCACATATTCGACTTCTTACTGGATAATCAGTAAAATCCTTCGCAGAAGCTTTGCCAACTATGCAACCACTGACCTGCTCATAGGAGATGACCCACATGTGGAAATTACATGCCGACATCTTCCAACATCGCTGCACGGGGTACAATCACTACGACATCAATAACACATCCTGAGCCTATGCTCATTCACCAACTGTACTAGTCCGTTCACTTCTTATGGACATCAACTAAATGTCCGACAATATCTTCTAATTCAAAGTTATATTGCATCCTTCTTCGTATCAAGCAACTCCCTTTCNGCTTAATAGTACAAGTACTACCTAGGGGGTGGGCATATTTTGGACAAACCCGAAATTCAACCGAAATCCGAATTTTTTAGATTTTTTGTTTGGATTTTTGGATTTTGGATTTAATTTTTAAAATTTTTGGATTTCATATTGGTTATTGGATTTGGTACTTCGAATTTTTGGATATCCGAAAATCCGAAATTCTTATACTTTATATTTAGTCCATTGTCCATATGCCAATAGTAATAAGTTCAATACCCTACCCATTAGATATTATCATATATATATTCAATATTAATTACTAGTTATTATGAGAATACTTTCTATTTGGACATGGTTTTATTATTTCTACTTCTTATCTGTCATATTAACGTCTCTATTGTATTTTTTATTTTTGTATATAATAATTTCATTAGTTTAATATTTCATTTGGATGATTGCGGTGAGAATGAAGAACTTTTGAGGCAATTTAACATGAGTAATTCATTTGGATATTCATTTTTGTAAAAAGAAGAGACATCTCAACTTATAAGCTCAAAACAGAAAATCCAAAATATTCAAATCGATTAATCCGAAACCGAACTTAAAAAATTCGATCCAATCCGAACTTATTTGGGTTGGATTTGGATTGTCATTTCGTCAATCCGAAAACTGAAAATCCAAACCAAAATTTCATGTGCAATTCGAACTGCCCGAACGCCCATCCCTAGTACTACCTTATTACTCCTATCTCATTTTATGTGCAATATTGTTTGATCGACATGAAATTTAAGAAATTTAAAATAAAAAAAAAAAAAAGCTCTTGACACGTAAGTTATATACATGCAAACTATAAAATTACCTTACTATCAACAAGTAATTGAGAGGCATTGAGATTTCAATCTGTTTAGGGATCGTATGGTTTGAAGACAAGTTATGTTGAGATTAGTTATTCTGATATTATCTTTTGATGACTGTTTGGTATGTTATATTAATTTTGAGATTGTCAATTTTAGTGCTTAATCCTAGAATAATTTATCCTAAGATTACTATTCCACCCAGGATTAGTAATCAAACAAGGGATAAGGCGATACTAAATCTTTATCCCAGAATTATTTTTGTTTATCCATAATACCAAAGGACCCTAAGAAGGTGAACTTTCTTATCATGGCGTTCAAACAATTCATGTCACAAGAATAAATGAGAAATGAGACAGTTTTTAAATATAGAAATACTATATCTTTTCGAAACAAACTAAAACAGAAGTGTATCCCATAAAATAGGGAGAAATTCAAAGATAGCCAGATTTACAAGTGATCATTCAAAAATAGCCACAGTTTCAAAAGTAATTGAAATTTAGTCACTTTTCATGTAAAGATAAATCTAAACGAAAATACCTGTTCAAAATCCGAAAAATAATCCTGCATAATATACTGGAGTTAATGGAGTTCCAGCATAAATATACTGGAATTCCAGCATATTATAATGGAGTTCCGGCATAAGTATACCGAAACTCCAGTATAATATACAGGAGTTCCAGCATAATATACCGGTCCAGTATAATATGCTGGAAGTTAATATACAGGTGCTCCAATCTCCAGTATATTATGCTGGAACTTTCCGCGTGTTGGAGTTCCAGCATAATATGTTGGAAGTTCATACACAGGTGCACCGATCTCCAGTATATTATGTTGGCCCGGTCTCTGTTGTAGCAAAATAGTAACTATTTTTCAATGACGTTGCAAACGCTGGCTATTTTTGAACGACCAGTCTAAAAGCTGACTAACCCGTGCTATTTTAACCATAAAATAGTACTCAAAGAGAACCTTTATGAAATAAACCAAATTTTATGAAGCATGGGCCTACTTTACTTTAAAGACTTTTACAAGTGTGAACAATTTTTTGACAAATGTTTACTAAGTATGTGTTGAAAGGGACTTCCAAATACAGAAATAAATCTCAGCTTTTGTGGATCTAATAAAAGGTGACTTAATTACACACCAAGAATTTGAATGATTGGTTTATAGAAAGAGACATATAATAGTGAGTCAAGCCCGCCATTGTTTAAGGGCCACTCGTGGGTTCTTTTATATCTTACTTCAATTATTATGGTACAAATTATTATCAGCACACGTACTACTATATTATATAGTAAATAATAAAGTGATTAAGGAAGGGTTAGAAAAACAAATAGGAGTAAGCATTGAATAAATGGCGTAAACAAGACATCCTAAGATGAAAAAACTGATCCAACATAAACAGAACGTTACTTAATTCTAAACGCCTAGTATAGCTTTTTGCATGTAACATCACACTTTTATAAAATTACTCCTCTATAATAGTCACGTAGAATCTTTAAGATTACCAATAATAAGTTTAGAGATTTTAACCAAATATCTTGAAAATTTTGACGCGCCACTTATGATAAAGAATACACCCACCGGTCCACTTTAATTGATTTTATTGGTGGCCCATAATATTTAATAATTCAAATATCTAGAAGGATTTAACTTTTTTTTTAAAAGTTGCCCTTGGAGTAAAGAACTTAGGAGTATTTGTTGTATTTTCAAATAAATATTTCGTTCAATTCCATTAAAGATATGCTTGTATATTTTTGGTGTCCTTTCGCTGAAAGTATGAACACAAATCTTCGCTAATTCAAGTATTACTTCGCCAGTAAGAGACTGAAAGCTATGAAACAAGCTACAATTACATTATTCCATTAATTTTAAAGAATATAATATTCAAGTAGCTTTAAAAAATATATGCCTTAAAGTTTAAATCTGTGTACACTTTGTTATGAGTTTATTAGTAATGTATTAGCTTTTTAAATCTTTAATTAGTAAAATATGCATATGTTTTGAGATTTTAAATTTGATTAATTTTTTTATTTTTCATATATAACATAAAAAAGAAAAAAAATTGATTATTGGATAATTTTTTTCTATTCACTATAAAAGTCAGAAAATATTAGAACCAATGAAACTGTTATAAAGAGGTTTGACTGCGTTACATAAATAAAATGATTAAAGAAAGGGTTGAATACCCCTTGAAGAAAACAAATAGGAGTAAGTGTCACACCCCTTTTTCCCACCCCCGAAATATATGTATGTATGGGTTAAAGAGTTTTTCCAATTAAAGTGACAAAACTTGAGTAGGGATTATTTTATTGTTCAGAGTCGCCACTTGGAATTGATTTTTCGGTGTTCCAAGTCACCATTTATTTGAATCCCTAGTCAAAGGAAGGTTTGACTCTATTTTTTATCGGTCCGCGAAAACAAAGTTCGGATAAGAAATTCTGTTGACCGGGGAGAAGGTATAAGGCATTCCCCGAGTCCCACGGTTCTAGCACGGTCGCTTTATTGACTTAAACTTGGCTTGAATTAATTTTGGATAAACTGTACTTTATTTAATTTTTATGTTTTACCTATCCGCTTTTATTTCTTGATTATCAGATTTATTAAGAAAAAATGATTTTTTGGATAAATTATGTTGTCATGACCACGCTACGCGAGCGAATGCGTGATCGAATAAAAATAATTAATTAATTTGTCATAATTGCGCCTCGCAAGCGAATCCGAAATCATGACAATCAATTATTTGTAATACTTTTTTTTAAAAAAAATTACTACATTTGAGAAAATTAGCTCTTGAAAATTTACAAGTCAACCGTCGCGCTACTCAAGCGAATCCGCGATTTTAGCAAAGAATTAACAAAATTAAAAATTAACTAAAACTAATGGGTATGGTATGAGATTATTAATTTATTGAATATTAAACATCACGTTACGCAAGCGAGTCCGTGAATAAAAAAAAAGGGGTTAAAGCGCGCTACTAATTCCTAGCGCTTAAATTAATTAAATATGATTAAATTATCTAAAAAAAACAAACAGATTATTAAAAATTGATGGCTAAATTAAAATGTAAAGGCTGACCGACTTTTATTTAAACATGGGCCAGTTTAGTTTATTTGAGAAAATGGGCCAACTTGAGTTTCATGAAAATGTGGTACTGGCCTGTTTAAGAAAAATGTAAAAAGGCCCCAACTATTTAAGGAATGATATATATATATATATATATAACTGATTCTTGAATCTAGTATTATGACTCACTTTATTAATACTAAAGGCTATTAACTATATTAAAAGAAACTGAAAGGAAAACGTAACCATAAGCAAACAATATATAAAGGAAAATTAAATGCATGAAATTGAGCAAAAGAAAGAGAGAACGTTACTTTAGCTTATGAATTTCCACAACTAATCATACTTAGCAAAATACAATCATAAAGCTATATAGTCATGCATTTGTAAGGACAGTCAAAGGACTTTTATCTCAAGAAAAAAAAAAATTCAAAAGTACCAACTTAAACACCTGAACATGTATCACTAACATTTCTATTTTTACTAGCAATTTCTCATGAAACCAAGGTGACAATGAGTCATAATAACAAAGCAACTTGGAACTAAAGAGGTTTAAAGCATGTTGTCAGCTGGAATATTCATAGAAAATCCAAAACTTGTCATATGTACTCACACACAAAACTGTACAAGAACATAATGCTTTTGAAGCTTAGAACAAACTGAACAAAAAAAAAACTTCAAATTGCTTCGTCTCCATTCAATCCTGACTCAAAATTGCAGTAGCATTTTAAGAGAATTACCTGGATACCAGAAAGAAAATGTCAGCTTGGAGAGGGCTGAAATTCAGCAACAAAAGCAGCCAAAAACAGCAACAATCCAGCAGCAAATAAGTGTTAAAACAACCCAAAAACCTTAGAGAAGAAACCCAGAACCAACTCCAAAGAAAACTTATACTTTTCTAAGTTTGCACTCTAACATTCACTCACAATTTCAGCTTACTTTCTTTATGTTCAGCTGCTAATTTTCTCTCAAGTTTTTTTTGTCTTTAAAACAGCTCTAAAGATGTGTGTAAAAACTTGTTCAAATGTGTGATAGCGTCCCCCTATAATGAATAAAGGGCAGCCCTTAAATAGGCAAAGAAAAGCCAACTTTTGGACAGATTTTTGTTCACCAAAAATCTCCTCAAAAGAGGCTGATTTTGTGTGCTAAAGGCTGTCCAAAAGGTGAAAGGACAGCCTGAAATCTGCTATGGCAGGAGCCAAAGGGTCACTTCAGCCACCCTACTAAAAGCAAAGCTACTAGTACCCTACAAAATATCTAAATTTCAGATTTTAACAACACCAATATCAACCTATTGATTCAAATTAAACCAAGTATTAAAACATGTAATTAAATTTCAACACATGTATTATGAACCAACATGAGCAAACAAAAATTAACTATTAATGCCAAACGGAACGCACGATATAGCTGAAGCGATTTAACAAAGACAAACATAATCAGAAATGGATTAAAATAAAGAAACAAGACAGAAACTAACTAAACTAAAAACCCAAAAAAAAGAAAAATCAGAAAATTAATAATGGGGCGGGGATTGTGATTTTACCATATACTCGAGCATCCGGGAGACGAAGATAGGCAGTGGTACGACTTTCGAGCAAGCTTCTATTGTTGATATTCTTGAAACCAAAAAATTCCGGTGAATCCGAGTCCGGTTTCAATAATATCAACGACACAACCTTGCTCGAAGCCGGTTAGGGAAAAGAAACAGGCGACAGTGGGCGGCAGTGGTGGCAATGCTAGGGCAGTGGCGGCGGCGCTAGGGCGGCGTGGGGTTTTTTGATGTTTTGAGTCGGAGATATGGAAAGAGGGGGAGAAGAGGAGGCCGGTGGTGTAAAATTTTTGGAGTTTGGGGTGGTGGGCGGCGGCTAGGGTGGTGACGGCGCGACTAGGGTTTGATTTTGTTGATTATTGGTGGAGATTTGGGGGATTTGGGTTGTGGATCTAGAAAGAGGGTGATGAGAGGAAAAGAATGGTGTAATTTGGGGGTGTTTGGACGTTGGCCGCCGCCGGGCGGCGGACAGGCGGAGTTGCTGGGGAGGAGAAATAAAAGAGAAAGGAAGAAGAAAAATGAAGAGACAATAAGGGAAATGGGGGCAAATTTTGGCCAAACTAGGCTTTAAATACCTAGGGTGGGAGATTAATCAGGGCCGTTGGATCAAGATAGGATGGATGGGTAAGATTCAATCTTCAAATTACTAATTGAAACGACGTAGTTTTGATCCAAAACTACGTCGTTTGGACCCTCCCCTTGGCACCCCCTTGTGGACCGGATTTGGACGAAATGGGTTCAAATTTTGGGCCAATTTTGGCTCAATTTTAATTAAAATACACTAGTCCAATCCCTACTCCATTTATCAAACCATTAATCAACTTTTGAAACTTATACATACAAAAAATAAGAAAAACACACACCCACACATACACACACACACACATATATATATATATATATATATATATATATATATATATATATATATATATATATATAGATATATATATATATATATAAACAAAGGCAAAAATTAGGCATTTACAGAAAGCATTGAATGGATGGCATAAACAAGACAACTTAAGATGAAATAACTGATCCATCATAAACAGAACGTTACTTAATTTTAATGCTAGAATTCAAAATTTATTCCATTTTCTTAAATTTGGGACAATATTGGAATAAATCACACAAAAACCATATTGAAGAAATTTTGAGGACGACACAAGCTCTATTATAAAAGGCAGAATTGAGACTTGCCGGGAGCGGAGCACTCGTAAAACGCCCCGGACACCTCAGCCATCGGGGCTTAAGCCCCGGACACGCCCACCGTGTAGTACCCGGCTCGCCTAATAGAACTTTATGCAATTGTATGTAACTAACTTTGTAAATCCTCAAATTTTCTTAATAAATTGTTGACTATTCAAAATTACTTTTTCATAAATCATTAAGTTGAGAGTATTTTTTTCATAATTAAAATAAAAATTATTGTACGTTATCCACTAGTACTGCTATGATAGTTAATTTTAAATAAATCTTTCATTTAAAAAGTATTTATTAACTTTAGTTATGTCTTTACTATATAATCGTAATTTTTTATAATTTTTTTAAATATTATTTTTTCACGTTTATGAGATACAATACTTACTAATTTAATAGCTCAGTATTAGCTAGTAACTATTTACAAATAATTAGTTATCATGGTATTGTATGGTAAATTATGTCACTTTACTAACTTGTTGAAACTTAAAAATAAATAATGCTAGAGAATCATATTGAAATTGTGAATTATGTTTTTATATTAATTCTCTTTCAAATAGAAAGCATATTAAATAAAAGGAGTATTTTAAGAAAAATATCGAATTGTAATATCGAAATTCTTTCAAGATTCGTTACTCCTTAAGAGATACATATAAGATTTCGAATCGAATACACTTCTTTTGATGTTTGAGTTGTAATGACGTTGCAGCTAATTTGTGATATATGTCATACTTTTCATTATTCATAGTTGAATTACTTTATAAATGTTTTAAACAGATTATTTGTTATAATTTTGTGATTCCAATGTAATTTCTATAATTATTTTATATTTTATACTATTTTAAAATTTTTGAAATTAGTAAAATTTAAAAATCCGTGGGACTTACGTTCCATATCTAGAGTTTACGTCTTGCCTCGTTAGAGGTAAAACGCTTCGCCTTACGCCCCCGCCTTTTAAAACATTGCGCACAAGGACTTGCCTTTACTCTTTAAGTTAGTGTACAGTTGTCTTTCTATATAAAACCAACAAATTTCTTCTGAACGAAGATTGGTAGGGCTAGGCGTGTTTGCCGCAGTTCAGATGAAAATTTCGGTTTGAATTTTTGATTTTCAGATTGAAAAAATGACAATTCAAATTTAATCTAATAAGTTTGAATTGGATCGGATTTTGTAGTTCGGTTTCGTATTAATCGGCTGCTAAAGAAGAGCTTGTTTTGGTTCTGGATACGTGAATAAGAAGAACGGAAGTACAAGAGGACAAGATTGGATATTTTGGATTTTCGGTTTTGAGCTTATAAATTGAGATGTTTTTTTTTTAATCCAAATGAATTACTCATGTTAAATTGCCTGAAGTTCCTCATTCTTACCGCAATCATCCAAATAAAGTATTTAAGTAATAAAATTGTTATCAAGAAAATGCAACAAGACATTAATACGGCCGATAAAAAGTAACAATAATAAAATCATGTCCAAATAGAAAATTTTCTGACAGTAACTTTTAATATTGAATATATGAGATAATATCTAGTGGGTAGAGTATTGAACTTAATACTATTGAAATATGGATAATGGACTAAATATAAAATATAAAATTTCGGATATCCAAAAATCCGAAGTACGATAGCCTAAAATCCAAAAATTTTAAAATTTAAATTCAAAATCCAATCTGTAATCCGAAAATCCAAACCAAAAATTCAAAAAATTTGAATTTCGATCTGGATTTCGGGTTCGGCCAAACTATGTCAACCCCTAAAGATTTTGGTACATTAGGATTATTGGAAACTTATACCCCCTCAATCGTCGTGTAGTCAAACTTAGTGGTTTGATAATCCAAATTCACGTCGTATAAAATCATTTTACGAAGCTGACGAATAAAAAAAGACAATCTTTATTATTTAATGCTTTTGTATAACAAAATATTTAGACTAGAAAGCGGAGATTATAATAGTGATAAATATATTATAAAATCCTATTAAATATTCCATACAACTCTGTCAACGTGTTTTGGATCAAAATATTATGGGGATCGTATAAGATATATATGGTTCATTTTTATATGACATATTGACCCGTTAAGCATCTATCAAATTAAAAATCCATCCATTTGCTAATTTTGTGCTATACTGTGTAATATTTTTGCGATATTTAATGTAATTTTAAAACTTCGGTGTTTCATGAAAGTGAGTTTTATAAACGGGTATATCATGTAACTTCTCCCAATTATAGACTTAAATAGCTGCGGTAAGCTGAAGATGTTCCCTGGTCTATCATGTAACTTCCCCCAATTGTATTCCGGATGTTATATTGTATTGTTTCTTAAAAATAGCCCATGCACTTGTGACACCGGGTTCTGGGAATGTCTATGGGATTATTCAAAATTTTCTAAAGTTGTTAAATATTTCATTTTTTATTTAGTGAAATTTACTATGTGTTGTCTAACCGTATAAAAGAAGTGATTTTGAAAATATTTAAAACGAAAATTTAATTAAGTATTTTGATTGGCTTGCCTGACAGCGATGTCCGGCGTCATCACAACTCTTAGTGAATTTTGAATCGTGACAAATATCCTATTCAACGCGTGGCTGTGTGAGTTAAATGGTGTAGCACTCGCTTATTATATAGTGCTACAGCCGCTGGCTTCTTCACTTGGATTTCAGATGTGGGACTCTTTTCAACCGCACTTCATAAATAATTCCAATATATGGGCCTTTTCGGGTCGAGTCCAATACATTAGGACCCATGAACATGACCTCTACTCTTTCCTTATGCGATTCAAAATTATTCATACCTGAATTAGGAACATATTGTCTTATGGTGATTATTTTTGTTTTCTTATCAATAATAATAGGGAGAATTATACAAATATACACTCCACCCATATATATTGGGAAAAATTCAAAAATAGCTAGATTTACAAGTGGTCATTCAAAAATATGCACAGTTTTAAAAGTAATCGAAGTTTAGCCATTTTTCATGTAAAGATAAATCTGAACGAAAACACTGTTCAAAATCCAGAAAAATACTCTAGTATAATATACTGGAGTTCCAGTATAATATACCGGTCCAGCGTAATATACTGGAGATTGGAGCATCAGTGCTCCAATCTCCAGTATATTATACTAGAACTTTCTGCGTGTTGGAGTTCCAGCATAATATGCTGGAAATTCATACACAGGTGCACTGATCTCCAGTATATTATGCTGAAACTTTCCGTGTTGCAGCAAAATAGTGGCTATTTTTCAATGACTTTGCAAACGCTGACTATTTTTGAATGACCAGTCCGAAACTGGCAAGCTCATGCTATTTTTATATATACATTGCAGCAGAATAGTCCAGTTACAACTTTGTAATCTGTAGCCCATTAACAATAGGCCAAAGTTTGAAAAATGAGCATTTTTCTTATTTTATTTTTATTCTGGAGATCTTCAAGCATCAAAATTGGGAGATTTTTTTATTCTTCTTCCCCACGTTTGTATATATTCCTATTCCAGCTACAAAAAACACAAATTCATATATAATGCAACTCGAAAACCTTATATTTTCTTCTTTTCCAAGTTTCAAATAGCAGAAATAAAAAATAAAAATTGAAAAAATTGTTGCACTTTTATGATTTGGCAGATAAATCAACAAGGAAAGCCGATTTATATAATAGATTGTTCGAGAAAAAATAAAATTAAACATATAAAAATTTCAATTTTAGATTTAACTGCATACGTGCATTACATGTATAATGATGTAACTTTGTATAAACTTGTATATACATTATGTAATAATGTATACTAAAAATAAGACAAAGAAGATAAAGAGAAGATAATGCCAAGCTTCCATGAATGCCTATTATACGCGTACAATGTATGTACACACTAAACATTAAAAATATAGATAATTTATACAACATTGTACGCAGATATACACACTTATACATATTTATTCAATATTGTATAAGTGAGTATAAACACTACCTATAAATAATTACTGGAAAATACCTCATGTCCATCACAACATGCAGTGTTCGGTGGTTGCCGGTGGTGAATTTTTCCAACGAGGTTTTAGCATTCAAATATGGGCTTCACCAATAGCAAAGGATAAAACAAAAACTATGAAATATAAGAAAATATGAGATGAGGTAGCCGGAGATGCTCTTTTAGGCAAGATCTAATAGTTTTTAGACTGATAGGCCAAATTTTATTGTGGTTCTTTAACCTCTCTTTGTCAATTAACTCAAAATTCGCAACCTAATTGACATAGAATGCGAGGATTAAAGAGCCCTTGTGCACATCTGTATAGAGCACAAATTTGCTAGAATGTCGTGGTATTTGTTTCTTCACTTG